AACTCCATGGGCTCTGTAGCAGAGAAATCTAAATCTATGTTCAAATCCTAGTTCCGCCACTCACTAGTTGTGACTTGAGGGATAAAGGCTCATCGTGGGGATCACAGTTAATTTACGTGTAGTACCTGACATGTAGCAGATTGTCTCAACAAATGGCGGGTACCACTGCGGGGGTGTGAACCCATCAGACCTATTCAGTGTAGCTGGAAAATTGAGTGCTTGGTGGCTTGGGGGTGGGGAAGGAGTTAGGATAGCCAGGGATAAAGCTGAAAATATCAAAGCCAGATACAGGATGGTCTGGACTATTAGGCTAAGAAATTTAGACTTGACTTTATAGGCAATGGGGAGGCATTTAATGCTTCCTTACAAGGGAAAAACAGGATCAGACTTGTGGCAGAATGAAAACTCTGCCAGTGGTGTGGATTGTGGGTTGGAAGGTTAGAGATGGAAGCAAGAAGAACATTTTGGGAAATGCTGCCTTCTGTGTTCCTGTCTTGGCAACCCAAAGCTCACACTAGCCTAGTTAATGCTCTGTTAAGTCCTGCAGTCAAGTGTGCCTAGGGAGGCAAATCAGGGCAGTGGTTCAGAGTATGGCTTCAGTGTCAAGGCCAATGTGGATTTGAATCCTTTTGGACAGGATTTGAATCCTAGGACAGAATCCTAATCCTGTTGCTTACTGGCTGTGTGACCTTGGGCAATTACTTAACGCCACTGCACTTTAGTTTACTCTTCTATAAAATGAGAATTAATAGTACCTTTCTCATAGGCTTGTTGTGTGATTAAATGAGATAGTGTAGATAAAGCATTTAGCTTAGCTCAAGGAATGTAGTAAGTGTTCAATAAAAATAAATTATTAAAAATTTAAAAATTGTTTATTTCACCACAGAACCCTTTCCCCATGTAACACCTACTGATCTCCTCTGGAGCTCCTAGTGTCCTACAGACAGCATGTGCTTTAGACTTTCTCGAGAAGCAGAAACACTTTCTGCTCCAGAAAATAGTAAGGAAGGTTGCCAAGTTCTAACACAGTGATTCTTGGATGCACAGTAGACCCACCTGTGGAGTTTTCAAAAATGTTGATTCCTGGCTGCACCCCAGACTAGTTAACCTAGAATCTCTTGATGTGGGACCCAGGCATTAGTTTTTTTTTCTTTTCTTTTTTTAATATTAATAATTAATTTATTTATTTTTATTGAAGTATAGTCAGTCTACAATGTTGTGTTAATTTCTGGTGTACAGCACAGTGGTTCATTTATATATATATATATATATATATATATATATATATATAGAGAGAGAGAGAGAGAGAGAGAGAGAGTCCTTTTCATATTCTTTTTCACTTTAGGCTATTACAAGATATTGAATATAGTTCCCTGTGCTATACAGTAGAAACTTATTTATCTATTTTCTAGTATTTAGTATCTGCAAATCCTGAACTCCCAGTTTATCCTGCCACCTTTCCCCTTCCCTGCCCACTGTAACCATAAATTTGCTTTTTATGACTGTTTCTGCTTTGTAAGTAAATTCATTTGTGTCATTTTTAAAGATTCCACATATAAGTGATATCATATGGTATTTCTCTTTCTGGCTTACTTCACTTAGGATGACAATCTCCAGGTCCATCCATGTTGCTGCAAATGGCATTATTTTATCCTTTTTTATGGCTGAGTAGTATTCCATTGTATATGTATACAACTTTATCCAATCATCTGTCAGTGGACATTTAGGTTGCTTCCATGTCATGGCTACTGTAAATAGTGCTGCTTAATTTTAATGATTTATTAAGGTAAAACAAAGAAAAGTACACATATCCTAAGTGAATGACTTTTTCACCAATTGAACATGCCCACGTAAGCCATAACCTGCTCAAAAAACAGTATTATCAGTACTCCAGAAGCTCCTCTTATACCCATTCCAAGTCCTTGTACCCCAAACCCACTATAATGATTTGATAGCATAGTTTTGCTTTGCCTGATGTTGAATTTTACATAAATGGAATCATATAGTATGCATTTTTGTGGCTTATTTTGGTTAACATTTTGAGAGATCTGTATCATCAAGTGTAATTGTGTATTGTTCATTCTCACTTCTATGCTATGTTCCATTGTGTGAGTACACCATAGTTTTTTTCCAAACTACTGTTGGTGGGCATTTTGGAAAGTTTATACTTTGCAACTGTTACAAACAGTGCTATTAACATTCTTGTAAATGCCTTTTGGTGAATATATATAGAAATTTCTGTTGGGTATATTCCTAGGAATGAAATTGCTGGATTATAGGGCATCATATGTTCAGCTTTAGAAGATATTGCTGAGCAGTTTTTTAAAGTGGCTGTACCAATTTATATTCTCACTCGGTTTATGAGAATTCTTGCCAACCGTTGGTATTTTCTGTCTTAAAAAAATTGGCCACTCTGGTGGATATATAGTAGTCTTGCTTTGTGATCTTAATATAGGTTCCCAGCATCTCCAGGTGACTCCAACATGAAGCCAAATTTGAGAACCTTTTTCCTAACAGTTTTTGAAAAAGAAAAACACCCATTAATGGAACTGTATAAAGAGATGTTATAATATAAAAATGACAAGTGCCTCCCCATTGACTCTCTCTGACGTCTGTACCCTGAGTCTTTTATAGATCTGATCTGTGTAATCAGCCAGAGGAGGATGCTTTTGCTGTGGAAGGAGAATGTAGAGGTGTATTAAACCTGACAGCCTGCCCCTCGTCCCTCTGTGCTTTATGTGGGACAAATGGTTCCATCAGGAGTGATCTGGAAGCTGGAAGAGCCCATGGCAGGACTTCAATCTCTTCTTCCAATTTAAGAAGTGAAAGAGGAGGGAGGACAAGAGAAATGAGCAGCAGTCTATCCCGATGTCGTCAGATGATAATATCTGGTCTTCAGGATCAGAGTTTAAGATTTTATGTTGTATTTTTGCTCCCCAGAGCTTGCCCAAGACCTGGCACTTGGAAGATGCTTGAGAAAATGAGCATTGAATTTCATATCAGAACTGTGTAACTGTCCTGGTGAAAAGCACAACTCACATGGATGCAGAAGGTGTTGATAGGGATTTAGCCCATCTGATGAATAGTTGTGCTCTCCTTTGTATTTTCTGTGCTGTGGCTGATTTTTCCTGTTTCTTTTATACCCTCGAGCAAAGATATACTAGCTGTTTTAAAATCTTTATCTGTTAACTTCAACAGCTGGGTCATCCTGGGGTAGATCTCTATTGATTGCCTTTCCTCTTGAGTTTGAGTCACATTTTCCCGTTTGCTTTCTAAAATTTTTTTCTAGTAATTTTATGTTACATCTAGAACACTATGAATGAGACTTGAAGAGACTCTTGATTCTATTATGTTCCTCAGAACAGTCATGATTTAAAAAATCAGTTAACTTGACCAAACAAACTCAAAACTCAGTTTGGGATAGGCAGCAGCTGAAATCTTTCTTTAGTCCTTTTAGCCTTAGTTGGGCTGCTTGGAACCTGCCCTGTACATGCATCACTTAGGGAGATTTGGACAGAATTTCTGCTCAGCATTTGGGGCTACCATCTGTGACTCTTTTCTGGGATTTTTTTCTCCTCACTTTCCAACTGTAGTTACCTGAACTATATCCTTTAATTCCTCAAACAGCAAGAGCAAAGGTTTTCATCCAGGTTGTAGTCACCATGTACGACATTGACTGGGACCTGCCTTTGGGTAAAAAGCTACAAAAACATGGAATTTTCCTACTACAAATTCCTTTCTTTCAAGGGTTAACTCCCCTTCAGTTTCTGTCTGCTTGTGGTTGAACAAATCTAGTGCTTTCCAGTAGGTTGTGTGTGTGTGTGTATGTGTGTGTGTGCAGAGTTCACAACAGTTATATTGTGAGAGAGTAGGTCCAATCAGAGCTACTCTGCCATTACCAGAAGCAGAACCTTTCAGATAGCTTTGTTCATTAAGGGGCCCTCAGAACCCTGCTACTTTACTGCCTAGCACATAGTAGATGGCAGTGGATATTTATTTATTGATTAAATGAATGCAGCTTTAAATTTAAAATGGAAGTAAATTAGAAGATAAAACTGCCAGAAGAAAATCCTGAAATTAGTTACTCACTGATGACATAAAATAGAGAGGATGTTTAGAAATTTGCTGGAGAAAATGATGAGTGAGAGGAATGAGATAATATTAGGGCCTCTGATAGGTGAGTGTGGACCCCAGTGGCTAACAAAGAGAACCTGAGATTTCAATACAAGGAGATAAATTCAATCGTGAGAGTAACATCACTTTCATGGGACTGAATCTATGGCTTATGGAGAATTTACTATGTGCAACAGAAATAAAGCTGGTCAAAGGGGAGGCAGAGGTATGCTTGGAGTTCTGTACACCCAAGAGGAGCCAAGAGGAGGGACTCAAAGTGAAGGAACTTTGGCTGCAGATCAAAGAGGGGAGGAACAAAAATGATGTAAAGGCAGTCTACTACAGTTTGCTTCTCTGCACGGTAACTTAAAGGGCACAGATCCAGCACTGAGAGACTTCAAAGCCCATGGATTGGGTGGAAACTTCACTTACCAAAATTCAGAGCGTCTGCAAACTTCCCGATTTATTCTATTGACAGTTTCATCTCCCGGAAAGTAGAGGAGAGAGGACATTTGCTGTTATGAATCTGGTTTGGGAGCTGTTGGGTGAAGTGAAAATGAGAAAGTGCTCACCAAGAAAGGGAACACTAGTCATACGGGGGCTGAGTTCACAGGGCTTGGAAGGCAGATTTTATGAAATTTAGGATGAGATACATATATTTCCTGCCTAAGCCTCTGAAGGTGATGACAGCTCCAATAGTAAGGGAAGTTATGACTGTAATCAATTATCCCCTTTCTGCGTAGATTTCATTTATTTTCCTGCAAGGACGCCTCTTCTTGCTCCTAGTCATGCTTCTGTGGGCTATCTTCCCTGTCTGACATTTTGTCTTTTATTTTCAAGCAGGGGAGATATTAAAAATACTTAACTGTCATGGCACAGGCACAGACCAGTCGGAAGAGTTGCCAGCCACACACAGCTGGAAGGTCAGCCCGACGTACAGGTTTCTTAACCTCTCCGAGGCTCAATTTTCTCCTCTTTGAAATGCAAACAATACCTACATTGCAGAGTTGGTGCAGTGATTCCAAATGATGTTATGTGTAAAGAATTTGACCTACGGAAGATGTGCAGTGCACAGAAGCTCCCATTATTACCCTGCATTCTTTATCTCTGGGTTCATTTCACCTACACAAGTTATAGGTTCTGTGATGCTTACCTTTAGTTTCGTTAAGCATGTGTTTTTACTCTATGCTGATTCCAGCACAAGTGTTTGTTTTATTACAAGTTGATCTGCCTGGTTTGTTAGTCGAAATGTCCTCTTATCTCCTAGGTCATTAACATCTTGGATTTTCTAAAATCTTCTTGCATTTCATGAGGAAGATCTTTTAAAGCATATGTGATTCTTCAAAAGTTTTTTTCCCATTTCCTTCTTTCTCTTTCTCCTTTTACGTATGTAGACTGTGGAATCAGATAGACCTGGCTTCGGATCCCAGCCCCACCACTTCCTGGCTGTGCAGTTCACTGGTATCCATCGTCTGCATTACTCTCGTCCTTTGGCTCTTAGTTCTTTCTTCCTCCCGTGTAGGGCTTTCTTTTTCGAGTCCAACTCTCTGTTTTTTTAGTGTCCTTGTTTCCTTGGAATTATTCTCCAAAACTCCATGAACAAACTAGATGAAAAGCTTTTAAAAATTCCCATATCAGATACTTCCTAATTGGCTAAGAACACCCCCCGGCTAAAGGGGAGGAGATATCTTTGAGGTTTCTGAGGTGGAGAGAGGCATCTTGTTAGGAAGCAAACCAGAGTCCCCTTCCTCCTTTATGTCGGTAATGGCGTGAGACCCAGGATGCTTAGGATAGATGAGGATAGATGACTATAGATGAGGCAGTGATCCCTGCCCCACCCTCTTCAAGTATGGATCCCATCCAGTTAGGAGCAGGATGCTTATCTCCCTCCTCTCCAGGGGCAGGGTTGGGCGAGGTGGCAGTCCCTGCTGGCTTAGCATCCTTCTTTCTAGAACTGGAATCCAGTCAATTTAAGGGGATGGAGTCATGGAGGACAGTTCTTCATTCTACCCTGCAGGGCAAGTTATTGGAGAAATTCTTACTAGAACCTAAGATATTCTTGACTCTTGTCTACCATTGAGGCTGCAGTGCCCTTGGTTTAATGATACACTGGTATTTGAGGGGTCTTTCCACTCAGTCTGATAACTTTCTAGATGTTTGTGTTGAGGACAAGAGGATTCAGAACAATGGAGCAAAGACAAGTATTTAAATCCAAGTTTAGGCGAACCTGATGCAGAACAGAATTGCATATTCAGTTTGAGCGCCTGCAGCCACATCCCACGCCATCATCTGTGGCAGACATTACTAATTGATCACAGCACACATCTCTCCTGTTATCACATGGGGTCTTATAACTCCTGCCATCACTGTGCTCCAAGAAGCCACCACCAACCTTAAGGCTGGCACAACAGAGGAAAGCTTGGCCAAGGATGTCATGCTGAGAGAGGGCAGCAGAGCGGGCAGAGGCCACTCCAGGCTTAGCCAGTTGAATGGCCATCCCCTGTTTAATAAATGTTAATCCAGGAGGGCATTCTTTGGCCACAGGTGGCCTCCTTTGGAAAATGATCCCTCCAGCTGCAAAGGGAGTTTTCATCTCCCTGCAAAGGGAGGGGGTGGACCACACTCCCCCAAGCCTGGAGAAGCAGTATGTGTAATTTGACTCCCATTTCCCCGTGCTTAGCTATTACATAAGCTTCTTTAGAAGACTGGCTGTTTGGTTTAGCACCGTGACGATGACTGACTAATGTGTTCGGAGACATCATGTCAGCTTTGCATGTGCCCCATCCTTGACACCTCTGTTCTGTCCTCTACAGCCTCCCCCACACTGGCATTCTTACCCACAGGCATGTGGGCCTCTTATGGATTGAGGTTTATAGGGAGAAGTGTGTGGAAGATGGGCATGTTCATGGGTTTTTCTTCACCCGTTCGAGCTGTGGCTTCCTTTGAAGTATTCCCGGAGCTGAGTCAGAGAAAGCTATCTCACCTTCACAGCTAGAATGAATCCGAACATCATCAATCAATATACTTGGAATGGTCCTTCCATGCTGTCTAGCCTGGTGGTTACGAAGTGCTGGGCTGCAAATATGGTGCCAGAGTGTTTGCTCCTAATACAGATGATCTGTCTGCCAGGGTAGGATGGGAGCTCACCAGGCCAGTCCCACCTCCAACCCGGCATGGACCGTCTCTCTCAGCAGCCTCATGGGTGGTCATGGAGCTCCTCGTGGCAGGGACCCCAGCATCACGCTATGGCTGGGCTTTGTTGAATTGTCAATGTTAGACAGTTTTTCTTCATGCTAGGCTGATTCTGCTTTTTCATTTTACCTGCCGATGATCCCAACTCTGCCCTCCGGACTTGGAACAAAGCTGATCCTTTTGTTCATGACGTTTGTTAAGGCTTGGTCCTGTATTCCCAGTATGGCCCTACCAGTGCAGGCAGAGGTCAGCAGGGCTATTATCCCAATGCTGGCCATGATTCTTTTCCTGAGAGAGCTCAAGATGCATTAGTTGCTTGATGGATCACTCTGTTTTTGTTGAACTTGTGGTTGTTGAGTACTGCCACCCTCCCCTCTCCTCCACCTTCCACCCCACAATAAAGTCTTTGCCAAGTTGGGTTACAGTAAATGGGCTTCAGAGGACAGTGACAAATCCAGGCCAAGCCCAGGACCACCACTCAGAGGTCTGAATGCAGGAGCACAGGTGGGAGAGGCAGAGCTAAGGAGCAGAACCTCGGGGACCTGAGTCCCACAACAGATTTAAAACCGGGATGTCTGTCTAGGATGACTGTGCCTGAAGTCTAGAAGGTTCATTACAGCAGGGGTAGAACAGAGAGTCCACAAAACTCCATGAGAATGGGGTTGGTGGGGGGACAAGGCTAATTTCTAATTCAAATATTTGGAACATTAAGGGCTCCAGAAGTCTCTTTGCTCATGAGTAAAGCATCTTTATACTGGGGGATGGGGGTAGGGGTGGGGGTTGGCAGGAAGGGGGAAATGACGCTATTATTCACAGAAGTGTGTTGTGGGAGGGCGGGGGTGTGCATCCTTTAGCAGAGAAAGTGGGTCCCAAGTGAGCTCAGAAGGGGGAAAGCCAGTGCTGCGTTTTGTTTTCCTTTTCCCCTTGTGCTCAATGGTACAGGAAGCGCGAGGCGCAAGCGCTCACGGCCTTCCTCCCGGCTGCTGCCAATATTGTGTGGAGAAGAATAGCTGTAGAAAAGGAAAAAAAAAATCTTAACGTTTTAACAGTGTGAACTTTGAGACACTGTCTGACTCATGTTTTAAAGTCTCTTCAATTTGAATTTACCCTCCTTCGTATTGTTTTTCTCAAGGCACTAGGCTCGAGTCCAAAGATGTGTCAACCCTGGGATGGAGGCGTCGCAAAGCCTGGGCCTCTTTCCCCCACCTCAGGGGGCGGGGCTGCTGTGGGCACCGGGCCTTGGCCTTCCAGCCCTTCTTCAAGGCTGGCCTCAGCTTGGCGGCTGCAAGATGGCCATTTTAGGGGAAGTGGAGGTATCTGGTAATATGCTTCAGCAAGAGACCACTCATGCTGCTTCAGGCAACATCTTTCTCTGGGGGTTCCATTCCTGAATCCCTAAAAGCAGCATTAATGTCTGTTAGGGTACTTTTGGCTACAAGTAACAACAATCAATTCAACTAGCTTAAACAACAAAAGGGATTTGGTTGGCTTGGATAGCTAAAGTCCTGAGGTCCCCAAATGGAAGGGCCCTCTTTCCCTGCTGTGACTCCCAAGTATCGGCTTTGTCCAAAGCCAGCCTCCTGCATAGCAGGTGGGAAGATGGAGGCAAGATGGTGGCTTCTGGCAGCAACTGCGGTTCATGCTTCCGGTTCACAAGCAGTGGGAATAGAGAGCTTCTGATTGGACCAGCTTAGGTCATGTGCCTACCCCCCAGCCAATCATGCTGGAGGGACTTAGGCCAGCGTTGACAGGCTCTGGCCAATCAGGGCCCAGCACAGAGTGATAACTGGGAGAACTCCAAAGCCCACCGCCAAACTGTCTCTCAATGGGCCCGTGCCTTTCTTCCTCATCTTGTTTCCTCAGAGGCATATCATCCCCCAAACATCACTCCCGTAATAGCCTTCTTTTCATTTTGGGGGAGAGGTTCTGTAGTGCACCCTGCCCATGCCCTCCACCTCGCGCTTCCCCTCAAGGCTCAGCTCTGTGGAGCGCAGCCGGTTTCCCTAGACGTACACTGCTGGTTTCTCCCTTTCTGGGGCAGCAAGTGTCAGTGGAGGCACCAACGGGAATCAAGCTCAGGCTCTGTCAGACAACAACCTGAGGCTGAATCAAGGCTCACTCCAATAACCTGTTCCTGCCTCACTGAGGCTAATGTTCCTTGGCTTCAGACTTCGGGCTGTCCACGATCGGATTATTTTGATTCATCCACCCAGACCTCAAACAGCCATTTGTTGGAAAAATTAAGTACCGCGCCCTGTTTGCCCTAGCTTCTGATTTCTCTTCTCAGAGCACACACACTTCCGGATAACGTCACCCCCAGCGTGGCCTCTGGACCCCTCCCCCAACCGCCTCTCCAGCCCAGCGCCTCCATTAGACTTGCAGCCCCACGTGCCCAGTTCTCAGGAAGTTGGTCCATCTGGATGCCCTCACAACACACGAGCTCGATATGTCTCCTTGGAGCTGGTTTTCCTCCCAATGAGGTCCTACTTGGGGATCCCCTTTAAGTGTGGATGATGCCATTGTTCTTCCGGGTCCTGGCAGTTTGGGCTGTGTCCCTGTTACCAATCAGGGGTGTCTCTGGAAATATGGACAGGTGCACCCGGGTCTCATGAGGGGGCCAGGACTTCTGAGGGCTGCCCCAGCACCCAGGCCAGTGCCCTGTCTTGGGGGCTGCCCAACTGCTGTGTTAGCAGCATGATGGCAGTTCTTTAATTAGACCAAGCAGGGTTTTCTCGGTCGGGGGGTGGGAGGAGGTGTGTGGGTCTATTGGGGGAAACTAGGTCACCTGAAAACCAGCAGTCAAGAGGGAGCTGTCCTGGAGCCCCAGCTCCAGGGAACCCGGAGGGGCTAGCCGGGTGAAGCTGGCAGGGAGAGCAGAGTTGGAGAAAATATGCCCTGGCCCCCTTTTTTGGCCCTTGGGAGGCGTTGTCCTCACCTTTCTCCAGGGGGCTGAGTAGTTGTCCTGATTCCTTCATGTGAGCAAAGTGTCCAAGCCAGAGAAGGCACAGCAGTTGAGTGCTTTCTGTCTGCATGGGGCCTGCAGGAGGGAGCACTGTACTGGGAGTCAGGCCCAGGGTTCAAGTTACTGCTCAGTCTCCGTATCCTGTGACTGTGTCCCCCACTCCCTTGTGCTTCTGCTTTGTCATCCATCCAATAAGCAGGGACCATACCTGTCTTTATCCTGCTGTACCCTAGCCCTTAGTCCTAGCATGTGGTAGACATCTGAGAAATATTTGTCAGATGAAATAATGAGCTCATAGGAGTGCATCTCTTATAAGATTGTTGTCATTGAGGGTCAGTGGCCAGGTGGTTCCCCAAATGCCAACCACTTACAATTGTTGCCAGCACTAAATACCATCATCATTATCATCATCATCATCATTATTATTTTTTGCTACCACTTAGCAAACTTTCCACTGGAGTCAATTTATTTAAAAGGAAAATTTTCTATCACTCCCATAAATAAACAGTAACTGTGAAACCAAATCCACAGGAAAAAAAAATGGTGTTATCGTATTCTATCCTAGACACAATTGCTTGCGCAAGGCTATGAGCAGGAGGTCTGTGTTCTCTTTGTTTACAAGGGAAATTGACATGGTTGTAAAGATGTTAAAGGAGTAGCCCCGAACTGATGCTTCTGGATAAAATCTGATAGATTGAAAAAGAAGTGAAAATGATGTAACTCGCTCTCTCTAAGTCCATGTTATATTAAGCCGCGTCCTGTACTTTTGAAAATTCCCTTGGGGGAGGGGTTCTCTTTCCACACTTAGGGAAACACCTGGCTGGGATAATGGCTGAGGAAGTTATTGGAAAAGATTAAGAGTTTTAACAGAGCTGCTGGTATGATTATTCTTATCTTTGGTTTTAACATGTTTTTGGTAACTCCCATTTATTAGGTGAGGAGTGGATACTTAATAATGAAGAATTGAGTTACCATCTGTGTAGAGAAGCTTAGGGGCGAAATAAATTGTACAGAATACTTAGACTGATCTGACATCGGGGACATTTTATTGCCTGGGAGGTGAGGGAGAATTTGCCGTCTCCAGAGAAAGCTGCTGGGCCACAAGTTCTTCTTCAATTGCTTATTGGACAGCTCTGGAGACCGGGTGTCTGTTCTTTGGGTGCACACCACTGCTCTCCTATACCGTGGTCCTGTTCTTTATTGAGGAGACTCATAGTTCTTGTGCAGATTGGACCTCTGGGTATTTGGAGACTGCTGTCTCATTCTGCCTGAGACAGGACTTGCAAACTCAGGTGACCAGAGCCAGCAAGTGATGCCAATTAGTGAAGGAGGTCAGGTGGGAGTCATGGGAGACAGTGGGGACTTTTGGAAATCAGAGGGATGGGCCCTGTCTGAGGGGGACAGTTTTACTCCATACCTGCTGATCGTTGCCATTAAGCCCAGCATGGCCAGGTACTGAGATGTTTGAAGAAAAGCTAAAACTTCGATTTTGGATATAAAATCTTACAGTTTTAAATGTTAGCAGTGAATGACAATATTGTAAAACATGGTGTGGACCAAAACCCAACCAACCAACCAACCACCCAAACATGATGTGGACCACAGGGGACTTTCTGGTTGCCTGGCCCTGAACCCCCAGTTGCTCACTGCTGCCCCCTAGACTTCTGTTCAGTTTGTGCTGGGCAGCCCCATCCACTTCAAGCATGATTGGTGTGTGTTGGTTCCCAGAATTCCCTTCACGATGGTCAGCCCCTCTGCATGCCTTTGAACAATGCCAAGCTCCTTCTCAGCCCATGTCTGCTCTTCTCACCTGGTGAACTCATCTTTGGAGATTCAAATCAGTTACCTTCTACTCTGGGGAGCCTTTCCTCATAACCCCAGGCAGACTAGCTCTTCCACTTTCTAGCTGTGTGATGTTGGATAGGTTAATTAATTTTTCTGTGCCTCGGTTTCCTTATCTGTGAAATGGGGGTGAAAATAGTACCTATCTCATTAGGTGGTCAGGAGGATTAAATTAATTTAGAGATATGACAGACAGACACACTTGGGTTTCCTAGAAGGCAGAGCTGGTCCTTGATCCACCTCTAAACCAGGACTCATCAAAGGGCAGATGTTCATTAAGTGTTTGATTCTTTGAGGAAGTGTGGAGAAGTAAAGATGTGGTCCACTAGTTCCCAGTGAGTTCTGATGTCATGATGATACCGTGTGGTTGTGAATTCACCTCTTCTGAGTTCCTTACTTTTAAAAAGCAATATCTATCGAAAAGGCTAAAAAACAGTCAGCACACCAAATTCTGGCAGAGAAACTGGATGGTCCATACACTGCTGGTAGGAATGAAAAATGGTACAACCACTCTGGAAGACAGTTTGAAAGTTTCTTTTAAAACTAAACATGTAATTACTGTACAACCCAGCAATTGTACTCTTGGGCCTTTACTCCAGAGAAATGAAAACTTACGTTCATACAGAAACTTGTACATGAATGTATTAGCCCTAAACCGGAAACAACCCAGAAGTTCTTCAATGAGTGGATGGATAAACACTTACATAAAGTGGAGAACTACTCAGCAACAAAAAAGGGACCAACTGCTGCACAAAACAACTTGGGTGAATCTCAAGGGATGTTGCATGAAAAAAGTCAATTCCAAAGGTTTTCTTTTATATAACATTTTTGAAGTGACACAATTCAGGAGATGGGGAATTAGATTAGTGATTGACAAGGGCAAGGACAGGAGTGTGTTGGTAAAGGGGAAGAGGGATGCTTGCGTGGTGAACTGTATCTTGACTGTAGTGGTGGATACACAAACCTACACAGGTGATGAAATTGCTTATAACTACACACACACACACACAGAAATGAGTGCTTATGAAACTGGGCAACTCTGAATAGATAGGTTGTATCAATGTCAGGTTCTTGGTTTCAGTATTATACTGTAGTTTTGCAAGATGTTACCATTGGGATAAATGAGGTAAAAGTTGCAGGGGATTGTTCCATAGTATTTGCTACAACTACATGTGAATCTATAATTATCTCCAAATAAAAAGTTTAATTAGTTAATTTAAAAAGCATTGCAAGATATTCAAAACAAAAGAAAACAAAACAAAGGAAAACCATGTATAGTTCATTTGTTTCCTGCTAGGCCTTGCCATTGGCTTACATTTATCCTTGAGATCAGGTCCACTCAGATCCCAGGAGCCTTTGCCCTCTGAATATTGCCAGGCCTACCCCTTCCGCATTCTTCCTGTGTACCCTCCCAATCTCTTCAGGGAGCAACCTGAAGAACATTCTGACTTAGCCTGAGCTCTTGAGGGTCCAGATGATGGTTGAATCCTGGTCTTTAGCTTCCTGAGGACGGGTGCCCAGAGTGAAGCGGGGAACCTGAAAAATTAATATCACTTGCTGAATCCCAGGGCTATCCTGATCCCCTTGGTGACAGCGAGCATGTCCACAGCACACAGACGTAGACCTGTAGCAAGCAACCTGCAGTTACCCACCAGCCTCGCCTGTGGGTTCCCAGATGCGCTGCATTTCTGTGCCCCTGTTCTTTTTCCTCCAAGCTTGTTGCTCTGTGCTAGTTAGGTGTATAACTCTTTTGGCCAGCTCTTTTTCTTCCTTGTAAATTCTGGGAGGTGGATACAACATTTTACAGATGGGAAAGCAGGCTTAGAAAGGCTCGAGTTGTTCCAAGACCCTTTCCCTGAGTGTCTGAGAGCCCAGAGGGTCTGTGCTATGTGAAGACAGCGATCACTTGGCTTAAGACTCTGAAATTTTGTTGACTTCATGTTGTCCAGGAATTGATGAGAGCAAGAGGTGTGAATTTTTTTAAAAGTCATCCAAAGAGGAAAACTTCAACTAAGATATCTTAAGTCCTAAGAATTCAGCAATGATCAAACTTTGTGGTCTTAGGACCCTTTTATACTCTGAAAATTAAGGATCCCAAAGAGCTTTTGTTTATGTGGATCATCTTGGTATAATATTTATCATATTATAGATTAATAGAGACATTTAAAATAGTAGTATTCGTTCCTTTAAAATAACAATAAATCCCTTTTAACAGTACCCCCCCATGTGTTATAACAATAGAACAACCTTATATGAAATTACAATAGAACCTCCAAAAAGTGAGGATTATTGTGTGATGGTGATGGAGGTCTTAATGCAACAATGGTAATTATATTGCAATGTATGTGTATCAAATCAACACGTTGTACACCTTAAAACTTACACAGTGTTCTAGGTCAGTTATATCTCAATTAAAGAAAAACAAATAGGGGAGAAAAGAGTTCGTAACCAGGGAGGCGGGGGTGACGTAATCAGATCGGAGTTTTGAGCCTGACAAGCGTGTCCCTCTGTGTCTCTCCCCACCTGCCCCACAGGCCCCAGCATGAGGCCCCAGCCCCGCCGGAGCCCCCATGCTGCCCCGGCCCCCGGCACGCCGTGCTAGCCCCCAGCCAGGGCGCGGGGAGGCGCGGTGGCCATGGCCAGCCACGTGGACCTGCTGACCGAGCTGCAGCTGCTGGAGAAGGTGCCCACGCTGGAGCGGCTGCGCGCCGCCCAGAAGCGCCGGGCCCAGCAGCTGAAGAAGTGGGCGCAGTACGAGCAGGACCTGCAGCACCGCAAACGCAAGCACGAGCGGAAGCGCAGCACCGGCGGCCGCAGGAAGAAGGTGTCCTTCGAGGCCAGCGTGGCCCTGCTGGAGGCCTCGCTTAGGAACGACGCCGAGGAAGGTAGGTCCTTGTTGATGGGTGGCCGCCCGGACCTCGGCGCCTCCTGGGCAGGGTTTGGATTCCGGATTCTGCGCAGTGGAGGGGAGAGCTGGGTGCGTCTGGCCCAGGCCCAAGTTCGGGCAGCCCTACACGTCTTAGGAGGTGGGTGGATGTTTCTCAGAAAGGGTCTGAAATCCGAAGACTTTTATCTTTTTTTTGGAAACAAGAATTTCAGCCTTTGGCTAGTAAATCCTAACTGTCCTTCCCTCCCACAAATAGTTACTGTCAGCCCATTTCTTGGGCATTGCCGTTTCAGATACGGCGGTGAACCCGTGGGATCGGGCTTCTCTCCTCCGAGAGCTCAGTACACGTAGGACCTTGCATTTCCTGAGTCCCTCCTGTGCGCGGCAGGGTTATCTGCTGGTCCGTTTTATTTGGTCTTCACGGCAGAGGTGGATGGTTTAGAGGGGTGGTTAACGGCATAGGTTAGATGATCCAGGTCTAAAACTGGCTTTGCCAGTTATTCCCTGGGTGACCCTGGCAAACAGGCAAGTTGCTTCAGCTCTCAGTACCTTAGTTTCCGCCTCTGTAAAATGAGGATAATGATGGTATCTGCCTCCAGGGCTTTCTGGGAGCGTTAGAGAATACCTGTAAGCCCTCGGCATGGCCCCTCCTACTGTGTAAGTGATTAGTATGTTTCATTTTATTATATTATGACTGTATTTCACTTCATTATATTTATATAAATTAATAGAAAGTTACATACAATTTTACATGTAATATATAATTATATATAATATAAATGAATATATAGGGTGTCAGGAAAGTCTGGAAACAGATGAATGTACACAGCATTGTCTAGGATATTTTCACTCTGTAGAGGGAATGAGTAAGTACACTCTTACAATGGGGAGCAAACCCACAAGGCCGTGAGGCCAGGGACAAGAGCCTAGATCCTGGGAATTCTGATCCCAGCTCTGTTCCCTTGGTCAAGGTTCTGAATCTCACTGGGTCTCAGTTTCCCCATCTGTAAAATGGGTATCATCATACCTGCCTCTTGGGTGTCATGATATCTGGATCATAGTGTGCATCATCATCATCATACAATTAAATAAAATATACAGGATATCCATAAAATCTGGACTCAGAGGATCCATGATTTGACCAAAGTCCTCTTCTGTGAGCGTCCTCTGAAGGATGGTGCCTGCCCACTGTTCCTCTGAGATGTGTACATGCATCCCATGTCCCCTTAGCACGCTCTGGTCCCTCCCTGTATGCGAATCCCTTCTGCCTGTCCTTGGAGGGACCTAGCTGTGTTTCCTGGGTCTCTCTGGCCTCCTCACATCCTCCAGATACTGGGTGCTGAAGCAGTCAGTAGAAGAACTGAGAGGTGGAGGCATTTAACCCAGCAGGATGTTGGGGTTTATGAACGTTTCTCCTCAGGTTCTAGAACTTTCTGAGAAGCACAGTTCCATTTCTGCCCTGGTTACAGAGTGCTCCAGGAACTGAGCAGAGAGGCATTTCTGGCGCCACTCAGCTGGAAGCAGTGCAGCAAAGAGTGTGGGGTGAGCAGCCCCTGTGAGAGAGGCGTGAAATCTCAGGCTCAGGACAGGGCCCTGTGAGGCTCCTTCCCACATGTCATTTGCCGGGTAATGCGGCAGGTCTCTCCCACTCAGTGGGTGGCATGTCATGATGTCTGATTTTTGTCGTGGGCGGTGGTATCTCAGCCCTCCTTTCACACTCATTTTCCACTCCCTTCTCCCCTGACGGATTGCCCTTTGCCCTCACTGAAGGGGCTTTGCAGAGGCTCTTGTGAGCCGGATGACATGCCTCCCTCCTCCCCCACCACCCCTTCTGTGCTCCCACCGGTACTGGTTAGAAGGAGCGCTGGGCTTCGGTCCAAGGTCCAGGAGCCGCTAGGCCTGCATGTGACCTTGCGCAGCTTGTTTCACCTGTCTGGGTCCAGTTTCTTAATCTGTAAAAGAGGGTTTTTTTTAAATTGAAGTATAATTGATTTACAATGTTGTGTTAGTTTCTGGTGTACAGCATAGTGATTCAGTTTTATATATATATATATATGTATATATATATTCCTTCTCATATTCTTTTCCATTATCGATTATTACAAACTATTGAATATAGTTCCTTGTGCTATACAGTAGGATCTTGTTGTTTATCTATTTTGTATATAGTAGTTTGTGTCTGCTAATCCCACACTCCTAATTTATCCCTTCCTGCCCTTTTCCCTTTGGTAACCATAATTTGTTTTCTGTGCCTGTGAGTCTGTTTCTGTTTTGTAAATGAATTCATTTGCCTTATTTTGTTTTGATTCCACATATAAGTGATATCATATATTTGTCTTTCTCTGTCGTCTGACTTACTTCACTTAATATGATCATCTCTAGGTACATCCATGTTGCTAAATGGCATGATTTCATTCTTTTTTATGGCTGAGTAGTATTCCATTTTACACACCCACACACACACACACACCCACATCTTCTTTATCCATTTATCTGTCAATGGATGTAAAACGGGTTTTGAACACTAGCCCTCAAGGGTATATGGCAAGAATTGGACAAATCCTGGATGTGACAGCTCTTTAAAAAGTGACCCTGAACCCTGCACCAGCATAATGATCATTGTAACACACTTTTCCCTCTTCTTCCTCCCACAGAGTTTGATGTTTTTAAGAACCCAACTATGTTCTTCTTGTAAAGATCAAACAACATAGAAATGTACAGAGAAAAAGCTCCTCCCTCTCTCCCCTCTTCTTTCCCTCTTTTCCTTCCATGATTACTTCCGCTCTGAATTTGAGGTGTTTCCTTCCAGGCATTTTCTCCACTGAGCTATGTATTTGTAGACTTGGAGAACTGTAGAGCTAGTTTGTGGGTTTTGTTTGTTTGTTTCAGCTTTTATGTAACTGATGACATAGTGGATACACTATTCAGTAGTTTTTCTTTTTTTTCACCCAACAGTATATCTTGGAGGCGTTTTCATGACAGTAGGATGGAATGGGATCTACATCTTTCTTTTTAACTGCTTTGTAGTATTCCACAGTATGGATTCACAAGACTTTTTCAACTAATTCCTTTTTGTTAGACATACCAGTTTTTTTCAGTAGTTTTGATTTTGCCACAGTGCATGTTTTGTGCACACATGCAAATGTTGATCTGGGACAGACATTAAATTTGAATGAGAAAAGTGCTAGTAAATCCCCGGGGCTGGTCCCCTGGCTCTGGGGACAGTCAAGTGAGTGTGGAAGGCCAGAGCACCATGCCCTGTGGAAGGCGGTGGGGTGGGGTGAGAGGCACCCTGGGGTCCACAGGTGTCTGGGTTTGAGTGGGGGTGGAAGCTGCCAGCAGCCAGCAGGCACTGTCACCAGGCTATGCTCAGCTTCTTGGCAGCACGACCGAGCCCATGCTCCCAGCAGGCTGGGGCGGCTTCTGCGTGCTGGTGGAGCGGGTGTTGGGGAGGCTGCTGGGGCATTAGCTCGCAGCGGGCTGGGAATGTGGGGTGGCAGCTCCCCCGCTCCCCTGAGCTCACAGCAGTGGCTGAGTCAACCTCCTCCACCTACCAGGGCAATGTGAGTCATTCCTAGAGTGAAGGCAGAGCTGAGGAACTCACTGCATTTCCTTCTCTGGCTCTGCATCACTTTCAGGCTAATATCCAGGCACCAGGGACCCTCCGTGGCCTTGGACTTGCCTGAGCCCCCTCTCATGTTCCCACTGCCCAGCATCAGCTTGTGCTCCAGCCATCTCCAGCTCCTCCAGCTTCCTCCCCGTGCCCTGCGTCCTCTTACCTTTCCACCTTGGCATATGCGGTTCCCTCCATCTGGAACACTGTCTCCCTGACTAACTCCTACACCCTTCAGTTTTTGGTCCTGTGTGACCTTCCTGGGGAGCCGTCTCTGATCTTTTTCTGTACCCACTCCCCCATCACTAGGTAGAGCAGTAACTCAATACACAGCTGCCATTTCCTGAGAGGCAGTGCAGTGTCGTGGCGAGAGGCATAGACTTTAAAACTAGTTGTCCAAGGACTCCCTGTCCCAGCTCTGGCTATGCAGCCTTGGGGAAGTTAGTTAACTTCTTGGTGCCTCAGTTTCCCCATCTGTAAAAATGAGGATTATATGATACATCTGCCTCAATTTAACCCCAATTGGGTTGACGAATGTGGGAGTGGTATGGTAAGAAGAATATATGTGAATTGTTGTTATCCTGTGTTATCTATTATTCTGCACTTACTTAATCTCTTGTTAGCATATATTCTGATTGTCACCATTATTATTATTATTATTATTATTATTATTATTATTATTTTGGTGGGGGGAGGTAATTAGGTTTATGTATTTATTTATTTTTTTTAACGTAGGTACTGGGGATTGAACCCAGGACCTCCTGCATGCTAAGCATGTGCTCTACTGCTTGAGCTGCACCCTCCCCCCTCATCATTATTATTATTGATCAAGTACTTGCTCTGTACCAGATAGCCCACTTTACAGACATTATCTCAGTTAACCCTCACAGCTACCTCTGAGTTAGAGTCAAACCCCATTTTTTTACTTTAAAGTAAGTTTTTTTTGAACTTTTTTGTATCTCTTACAGGTAGAGCATCAAACCCCAATTTTAAAAAACTAACGCTGTTGATGTATAATTGGCATATCAGATTTGCCCATTTTAAGTGTACAGTTCAGTGATTTTCAGTACATTTACAGAGTTGGGCCACCATCACAACACAGCTTTAGAACATTCCATCAATCCCCAAAGAAACTTTGTGTCCAATTGTAGTCATTCCCAGTTTCCGCCCTCACCCCTTCCCCAGGCAACAACTAATCTATTTTCTGCCTCTGTATATTTGCCTTTTCTGGACATTTCATTTACCTGGACTCATACAATGTGTGATCTTTTGTGACTGGCTTCTTTAATTTAGAATGATGTTTTCAAGGTGCATCCAGGTGGTGGCCTGTATCAAGACTTCACTCCTTTTTATTGCCCTATACTATTCTGTTGTACGGATTTTTT